TTCTGTCTCCGCACTGTTGTCGCCCTGTTGATCACGTCAGCTACGTGGTTTAGTCGGACGCGGTTTAGTCGAGCGCGGTTTTGTGGTGGAACCCTCTTTTCTAGATAAAACAGATGGGACAAAGGGGAAATGCTCGGTCACAGAGCCAGGAAGTTTGCCACAGCAAGCAAAGTTCAGGCCTTCATTCCACCTACTTGCTTCTACAAGTAGTCCTCGAGTTACAACAATTCATTTAGTGACCATTCTCAGTTACAGCATCGCTGAACAGAGTTGGCTTACGGCCGCTTTTCACTCTTACGACTGTTGCAGCCTCCCCTTGGTACACTTGATCAAAATTCAAATGCTTGGCTACTTGATTCACATTTATGACAGTTGCAGTATCCCAGGCTCATCTGATTGCCTTTTGTGACTTCCTGGCAAGCAAAGTCCATGGAGCAGCCAGATTTCACTTAACAACCCTGTTGATTCACTTAATCCCCACAGTGATTCACTTAACAAGTGTGGCCAGAAAGGTTGTAAAAGGGGGGGAAATTCACTTAATAGCGGTCTCTCACTTGGCAATATAAATGTTGGGCTCGATATGGTCGTTAGTCGAGAACTATCTGTATTTAGTTTCCTCTTAATCTCTTCTTTGACATTTGCATAAATTTAGATCAAGTCCCTTGGTTCTTCTATTTTCCTTGATGAAGATTAGAATCCTGTCCCAAAGCTGCTTTTTTTTTCAAGAGGCAACTGGACTTTCTGGTTTTTTTCCTTTGGAGACGTTTCGCTTCTGATCCAAGAAGCTTCTTCAGCTCTCAGATGAGAAGCGAAACATCTTCAAAGGAAAACCAGGAAGTCCAGTGGCCTCTTGAAAAAAAAAAAACACCTTTGGGACAACCATGACCTGGATGACTGAGAATCTCCAGAGTGATTAGAATCCAGTGCTTTTCTTCTTTAAAAAGTTTTAGTCATTTTGACGCTCGTTCCAACATTCAAAACGGGGGAACGTCACGCCGCCAATAAAAATCCAGATGTTGTGCTGCCCTGCCTGCCTTCTCATCACCCATCAAATTGGCTCTGCCTACACTATCACATATGCTGTGTGTTGTGGTCTCTGCTTATGGGAACTATGTCTTAAATGTTTGTTTTCCTGCAGGCCCTGGGCAGAGAGTGACCCGGTCTCTTTGGAGAGTGCTGCGGTCAGTACCCCTGCCCTCCCCAGCCTAACTCTGCTCTAACTCTTGGCTTTTCCTTTCTGAACTAATTCTCTAATCACGTTGGCTGGGTATTTTTTATTATTATTATTTCCGGTTCTCAGATTCTACTGAATCTCTATCCAAAATTGTCCCAAAGGTGCTTTTTTTCAGGAGGCAATTGGACTTTCTTGGTTTTTTCTTTTCTTTTGAAGACATTTCGCTTCTCACCCGAGAAGCTTCTTCAGCTGAGAGGACAGTGGGGAATGGAAGGATTAACTGTATCTTTAGGGACCAAAACGTCTCTCAAGGAATATAAATCAGAAAATCTGTGTCTTCAGGGACAGACTTTTAGGTATACAATTTGGGATGAACACCTTTGGAACGGTGTGGGATTAGGAATGGATTTCCAAAGAGAAAAATGCAGACTACAGGAACTAGGAGCACTACTCAGGTGATCCTAAAGACACAGATAAACCTCCAAGGGCTTCAATGACCCTCTAAAAGGATGCAAATGACCAGCTGTCTGCAAGGAATATAAATCCTTCCATTCCCCACTATCCTGTCAGAGCTGAAGAAGCTTCTTGGATGAGAAGCGAAACGTCTTTAAAGAAAAAAACAAAGAAAGTCCAGTTGCCTCTTGAAAAACAACCTTTGGGACAAACCATAACCTGGATGACTGAGAATCTCTACAGACTTTCTGTCCAAAATTCTTTCTGCGTAGATGCCTCCCAGGGAGCCTAAGGGATTGGGTGGCAATTCCTTTTTTTAGAATCTTAACCATTCTGGGGAAAAAAGCAAGGAAATGGGTTCATCTACTTGCTGCTTTATACACTCACGATCTGGAAAAAGAATGGCTTGATTGGAATCCTGAAGATTTGCAATATCTTTAGGTACAAGAAAGAGATGGTTTGAAAATCTGAGCACCTGGTCTTTCCCCTAAAATAAATAAATTTATATATATAAGAACATATACTCTTTTTCATCTTTACTTTTCCTTCCTGAAATCTTAACTTCTGTTGCTTTCTTTTTCTTCTTAAGCAGCATTTGGGGTTACACCATGTTCTTTCTAATTGCAGATGAAACGATATTAATCAATGTCATCTGTGGAGTGATTTCAGGGGTGATCTCCTCCACTATGGCTAATCCAACAGATGTACTAAAGGTAAGAGGAGCCTCCCTTGTGGGATACTTGTCGCTGTGTATCATTGCTGGTCTCTTGATGCTTTTTATTTTTACTTCCTGGCATTTTCAAATTCTATAACCGTCTCTTGCAGCACCGCTCTATCGATACAGGTAGTCCTCGATTTACAACAGTTCATTTAGTGGCCATTCAAAGTTACAACATCCTTGAAAAAAGTGACTGATAACCGTTTTTCACACTTAACTGGCATCGCAGTTAAGGGATCAAAATTCAGAGACTTGGCAATTGACTGGTATTTATGACGGCTGCAGTCACGTGATTCTCCTGCTGAAATCTTCTGAGATGCAAAAGTCAATAGAGAAACCGGTTTCCCGTAACAACTGTGCTACTAATTTACTAACTGCAGTGATTCACTTAACAACTGGGGCCAGAAAAGTGGTAAAAAAGGGGCAAAATTCACTTAACAAATGTTTCACTTGGCCAGTTTCTGGGCTCAATTGTTGTTGCAAGTGGAGGATTTACCTGTAGATTGCAAATAATTCTCGACTTATGACTAAAATGGAGGCTAGAATTGCCTTTGTCAGTCATGGTGTTGTAAGTCGAGGCACCCATGTAACTGACCTGATTTTATGGCCTTTTATGCGGCAGTTGTTAAGTGAGCCAATGCATTCCTATGGATATTTTTTGTGGGTTGTTTCTGGCCAAAATGTCACAAACCATAACACATGACCACACAATGATGAAACCGGCTGTAAAGGTGCGCTGGCTGCCAAGCATCCGAAATACAGCTATGTCACAGTGGAGTTTGTGTGCTGAGGACCCTTTTGGGGGATCTGCTCTAATGTCAAACAGTTGCTAAGTGGCTTAGCAAGGACTTTTTCTATATCCTAAGGAATCTGCCTAGTAAAACATTTAGAGCCTGTTCTTGCAGGCTTGATCCAGCTATCGAAGATTAGCAATGGCAAGTCTTCCCTTCACTTCTCTAGAAAAGATGTGGAGACTCTAGAAAGAGTGCAGAGAAGAGCAACAAAGATGATTAGGAGACTGGAGACTAAAACATATGAAGAACGGTTGCAGGNATGACCATTTTTTCACGCAGAATCCCCAGGATCACATGATTTATATTGGGACGCTTCACAACTGACTCCTATTTATGACGGTTGCAGTGTCCCAGGGTCATGTGATTCCGCTTTTGCAACCTTCTGGCAAGCAAAGTCGAAGGGGAAACCAGATTGAATCATGGTGGCACAGTGGTTAGAGTGCAGTACTGCAGGCTACTTCCGCTGCCTGCTGGCTGCCTGCAATTTGGCAGTTCAAAGCTCACCAGGCTCAAGGTTGACTCAGCCTTCCATCCTTCCGAGGTGGGTAAAATGAGGACCCAGATTGTTGGGGCCAAATATGCTGACTCTGTAAACTGATTAGAGAGGGCTGTAAAGCACTGTGAACCGGTATGTAAGTCTAAGTGCTATGGCTGTTTTCCTTCCTTCCCCCCGCCCCTCCCTTCCCCATCCATCCCAGCTCAAGGTTGACTCAGCATTCCATCCTTCCAAGGTCAGTAAAATGAGGACCCAGATTGTTGGGGGCAAATATGCTGATTCTGCAAACCGCTTAGAGAGGGCTGTAAAGCACTGTGAAGCGGTATATAAGTCTAAGAGCTATGGCTATTTTCCTTCCTTCCCCCCTCCCGTCCCTTCCCCATCCATCCCAACTCAAAGTTGACTCAGCTTTCCATCCTTCCAAGGTCAGTAAAATGAGGACCCAGATTGTTGGGGGAAAGATGCTGACTCTGTAAACCTCTTAGAGAGGGCTGTAAAGCACTGTAAAGCGGTATATAGTCTAAGTGCTATTGCTATTCATTTAACAATCGTGCTACTAACTTAACAACTGCAGTGATTCAGTTAACAAATGTGACAAGAAAAATCGTAAAATAGGGCAAAACCCAACACATTTCTGACAGCAGCCTAAATTTTGGGCTCAATTGTGGTCGTAAGTCAAGGCCTATCTGTACAGCAATACTGTTGGGATCACATGAAGGACTAACCCATGCGTTACACGGTTCACTGATGGTTTGTTGTGAGGCTCGCTGAAATGAAGTGTGTGAGTGCTGCTGTTTTCCTAATATGGATCATTGTTGTTTTTTGTGTGTTTCAGCATTGCACCGGCATTATTAAGACAAGCATCTTACGGCACCATAAAGATTGGTATATACCAGAGTTTGAAACGACTTTTTGTGAAACGTTTAGAAGGTTGGTATGCTAAAAATACTTTGTGGTTCTTTGTGGTGATAATCAGTCTGGCTGTGGCTCACCTGAGCTGCTTGGACTTTCAGATTCCCAAGATGGGCAAAGAGAAATGCCAAGGATGATATAAAAGTGGGGAAAAATCACCTATGTTCCATATCAAGGGCTTGGGGCTGGCTTTTTTTTTTTAAACCCCAAGACAGTTTGAACTATGCTTTTCTCTCCTCAATCTGTACTTCTGATTCTTCCTATGCCACTTTGGGATGGATTTCCCTGGTTGCATTGCACTCAGGCCCTGAAAAGGTTTTCATTATCAATCATATGAGCTGCGGTGGCGCAGTGGTTAGAGTGCAGTAGGCGCAGTGGTTAGAGTGCAGTACTGCAGGCTGCTTCTGCTGACTGTCAGATACATGCAATTTGGCAGTTCAAATCTCACCAGGCTCAAGGTTGACTCAGCCTTCCATCCTTACAAAGTAGATAAAATGAGGACCCAGATTGCTGGGGGTAAAAGGCTGACTCTAAACCGCTTATAGAGAGGGCTGTAAAAGCACTGTGAAGCAGTATATAAGTCGAAGTGCTATTGCTATTCATCAACAGCTGTATTGAAGCAAAAGCTGCTGTGGAGCACATCAGGATATGGCTGCACAGATGTTTTTATCAGAGAGAACATGGTCTCTTTTCCGTGACCCGTCAAAACCGCGCTCGACTAAGCCGCGCCCGATTAAACCGCATCGCTGACGTCATCAACAGGGCGACAACAGCCAGCGCGGAGAAAGAAGGGCGCTTTAAATAGCGCTTTGAAAGCAAGCTGATTCAACTTAAGATAAGGGTTAGGTTTAGGGTTAGCNTGACAGAGCAATCAACCCATGGAACAGCTTGCCTTTGGGAGTGGTGGGAGCTTCATCACTGGAAGCTTTCAAGAAGAGACTGGACAGATGCTTGTCAGAAATGGTTTAGGGTTAACAGAAATATTGGATCATAGGTCCACTGACTTTCCTGCTCTCTTCATTTTTAGATTCGGATGCAAGCTCAGGGCAGCCTCTTCCAGGGAGGCATGATTGGAAGCTTCATAGACATCTACCAGCAGGAAGGCACGCGGGGCCTCTGGAGGGTAAGGGCTTCTTGTGTTCCCTCCCATTCTCCATGTATTTGGTTGTTGCTTCCAAAGGAAAATGTGTAAACCACTTTTCTAAGACAGTTTTTAATTATGTTTATATTCTGACTTTCCTCGGGTATCGATACTCTGAATTGGGTTGTTTCCTTGCAGGAGTTTCGTTACCAAACTACATCATCCATGCCAGAAAGGGGGGGGGGGGTGGAGGAGGAGGAGAAAGATGACTGTGGGGTCCTTGGTGCTCTCTGAGCTTGCAGTTGTTTCATTGTCTAATTAAGTAAGATCATCAGTGCTGTGATTCTCCTCTGAGTACACCTAGTATTGCTCAAAAGATCCAACCATCATTTCATTGTCACTTCCAGAATGCTGTGAGTTTGGTTGTTCTAAAAAAGAGTCCTTGGCCAGGGCCTTCCAGTATTATGAGCCATGGTAGCACAGGGTTAGAATGCAGGGTTAATTCAACTCACTGCCAGCAATCCAATCCTCACCGGCTCAAGGTTGACTCAGCCTTCCATACTTCTGAGGTCGGTAAAATGAGAACCCAGATGCTTGGAGGCAATAGACTTATTCTGTAAACTCTGTAAATTTAGAGAGGGCTTTAAAGCACTATGAAGCACTATATGTCTAAATGCTATTGCTAAGGTCTATTCAGTGGAGACTTGAACCTGCTGACCATCAGCTTAAACATGTTGGATTTAAGAATCAAACCTTAGGCAGCTGTGACAACTGGTGGTTGACTCTTAGAATTTTTAGAATCACAGTTGTGTATGAAAGAAAGTTATAAACGTGGTGGTAGCCATCACATTTTTTTAAAAAAAATATTGATAGTAGTGGAATAATTTTAATACTTTCCCTCAATTGAAGTGCTGTCCTTCTTCATCAAGGTCCCTTATTTTTGATTTTCGGGGACCAGCCAGTAAGGCCCTAATTCTCTCGAGGAACAAGAACGGCAAAGCAAGCAAAAGCAAAATAACGTAAACCAGAATAATGCAGAGCGAATAATAGATTTTAATTTTCGGCATTAACATTTGTTAATGAAATCAGGATCTTGTCAAAAGAGGAATTGATAAATCAGGTGTATAGATCTATCTTTTTAAAGGAGTTCTATAAACATGAGACTTGAGATCACACCTAAATGCCAGTGGAACCTTTTTTTCACCCGTTGAAAAACGAAGCAACCTGCAAACTTCAAAACAGTTAAGGATGGGATAAATGGAAGTCATACGATAGGTCATTGAGTAAGATGTGGTTAAAGCCATACTAACTTCTGGTCTTTTCTTCGGCTAGGGTGTAGTTCCCACGGCTCAGCGAGCTGCTATTGTGGTAGGAGTTGAGTTACCAGTCTATGACATCACCAAGAAACATTTAATACTTTCAGGACTCATGGGGGACACAATTCTGACACATTTTATGTGAGTACCTGCCACTGTTCTGGGGGTTGACCTAAATGTATTTCTCTCAAGTTGTGTAGGCTGTGAAACGAAGCATGGATTGTGAGCATGGAGTATAAGTAGTCGAGGTCACATTTTGGAGTTTTCCCCTGTGACTTCTGGAGATCGTGCCTCCTCCTAGTGGGTGGATACTGGTATTGCATTAAGCCACATTATGGACTTGTTTAGTTTTGATTCAGTATGACATGTGAACCCAGCTCTATAAACTTAAGATTTGTGGTGCAATATTATGTGTAATTGAGAGCTCGAAGCATTTAAATATAACAAGAACAAATGTGAACCCGTATTAGAAATTGTAAGGAGCAAAGAGACTATGGTGTCATAGCACCAGTTTTACTGTCCTTAAATTTTTACATGAGTTCTGGAAAACTCAGAGGAAGAATCTGTCATTGTGCCACACACAACTAAAACTTGTGGTTTCCATCGCACATTTTCTCCCAATAATTACACTAGGCCTGTTCCTGAAATCAGAAGGAAGGAATTCACAATCTCTAGTTACTTTGTGAGATGCACCGGCTTTTAAGCGGTTTCTTCTATGCTTGTCTGTCCAGTTCCAGTTTCACTTGTGGGCTGGCTGGTGCCATAGCTTCCAATCCAGTGGACGTGGTTCGTACCCGCATGATGAACCAGCGGGCCATAGTGGGAAGCGTGGAGCTGTATAGGGGAACAATGGACGGCCTGCTAAAGGTAAGAACAAAGGGTAACCATCTTGAGTGAGTCAGGATTAGTGTGGTGTAGCCGTTCAGGGGTGCTGGACTAATAGTAGGGACACCTGGTTTGTTCTCACCCTAAGTAAGTGATGGCGAATCTTTCCGGCACCAAGTGCCCAAACCAGAACACATGCGCACATGTGTGCCAGAGCACCGGAAATCCAAAGAGCAGCTGGCTGGCACACACTTGCCTGTTTTTTGGCCATTTTTCGGGCTGTTTTCAGGCTGGTTTTGGGGCCAAAAATGGCCAAAAACAACAGACGGAAAATGGCCCAGAAAACAGCCTGAAAATCAGCCGGAAAACACCCTGAAAAATGGCCTAAAACCAGCCAGAAAACCAGCCGGAAAATGGCCTGAAAAATGCCTTAGTTTTGGGCTGTTTTCCGGCACTCTGGCGCCCATGAAGACCAGCTGGCAACAGTGCGTGTGCCCACAGAGAGGGCTCTGCGTGCCACAGGTTCGACATCAGGGCCCTAAGTCATGGAAATGCATTGGCTGACTTTGTCTCTATCTCCTCCTCTACTGCTTACTTTTCTTGCTGTGGCGGAAGCAGTATATAGGGGTGAAATGGGACTCCCCTTATGGGGTGCTCCAAGCTCCTAAATAAAGGCAGGATGTAAATCTAAAAAATGTTGGGGGCAACACAGAAGGTGTAGACTGGGATGTACTTTGAATGTGGCTTCTTATCGCCTCTACAGACTTGGAAAAGTGAGGGTTTCTTCGCACTTTACAAAGGCTTCTGGCCAAATTGGTTGAGACTTGGTCCCTGGAATATCATTGTATCCTTTTGTATGCATAGGCAGAGGCACCATCATGCAGGGAAGGCTGGGGAATATTTTTGAAGCAATTATCGATTGTAGCCAAGAGTTTTGTAGATGTGGCATATTTCCTGCAAATGCTGAATCATAAGTTAACCCAGACCTATTCTGATCTAATTCAGCAGGTTGTGTGAACCTGATTGTTGTTATTATATACCAGAACAATCACTCTGAGTTATATGTTAAACAATAATTGCTCTATGCACTTAATTTGGATTGCTATAGCCACTCCTGTGTTTACACAGGGTTTTGAGTGGTTAATCGACCTCGTTTGATTCATACAACTTGCTGAATCCCAAAAAACGAAGAAAGATAGGGTCAAATTTAGGCACCCTTGACCTGCTGTGCAAAGGCAGCTTCTGAATTTTTAACTGATACAATTAAAGATCAATTTAGCCTCCCAGAACAATTTGTTCTGCAGAGACATTTGAACAGTGTATTTTTATTTGGGACGTGCTGATGTAGGCAGTCCACGTGAATTTGGGAGTTGAATAATTCTACATACTTTGAGGGAGCAGAAGCTACTGGGTAGATTCTATCCTTATCAAATCCAGTTACTGGATCTTTAAGGCCTGGGAAAGACTCCTGTTCAAGTGACAGGCGAACCCTGCCCAAATTTGATATTCATGATGCACTCAGGATATTAGCTGATCTTTGGGTAGCTATCCAGAGCTGTTCCTTCTACTGAAGTGATATAAAATATCTTATCCTCCCCCTTTCCCCCCCCTGTATCATAGATGATGATTAACCATTATAATTCCAAATTGTGTGTGTTGGGGGGGGGGGGAATCAGGGCTGTTAATTTGTTTATTGCTTTTAATTTTTGTCTTCTTTTCACACTAACATATTCTCTTGATTTCTGCAATTCTAGCCCCTTAAGTCCGCTTGGGCTCTTGGGATCATTGAAATGCAAAACTAGACATGTTAACTTAGCTGGAAACAGACCCAGAGGAGGGGGGGGGGGAAGATTAGAAATTCCTCCTTTGAAAAGTTACTTCTTTAACTCAACGACAGTTTTTTATCACCTACGAGCAGCTGAAGAGGCTCCCTTTTTAAGATGGATTGGTCATCCAGCTGCCCCTCCTGTTCCCTCCATTCCTGCATCTTCACGTATTATTATTTTTATTTTTTTGGTCTACATGGACTTCGTTTCACCCTCCATGTACTGAGTGCTCAGTATTAGGAGGGTGCTTAAGGGGGAAGGGGAGGATGGGTCCACAAATACAGTATTCAGAGCCTGGTGCACGTGCTTTTCCACCCCGCAAGGGAGACGGTGGAACATGGAGTGAGAGCACTTAGGTCTGTGTTTGTATCTTCCATGAAGAGAGCTGTGAGTTAAAAACCCTTTTTCACTGCCGTGTGGCTTTTGCAGCAGGCAATCCCTCTTCCCCCTCTGGCCCATGCCAGAGGAAAGGGGAAAAGAAGGGGGCTGCTGCAGGCCTCCTTTCATTGTCGTATAAACCCCATTAAACTATTTATTGGAATCCAATCCTGTGATGTGTGCGTATTTGTATTTCTGCAAATATTAAAAGTTTTCTTAAACTGGGCCAGGCGCCTGCCTGTTTGAACAGGTCTCTTTTTAAAAGAAGGAAGTTAGAATTGCCTGTCCAGCGAGGTGTTTTATACACCTGCCAGGCTTAAATTAATGTCCCTGAATCCTGATCTGGTATTGTTGTAAACATATTCAAATCTAGAGAAAGGATCACCCAGGTAATCCTCACAATTCATCCAGTATATTGTAGTTTCTGGTTGACTGCAGGGTAACTGGCCTAGAAGAACAAAAAAATCAGAAAGGGCCTGATTTTTAGCAGCTCCTAAAAGCTCGTGCCTTTTAATAAAATCGGTGCGTTGATGCTCCAGGAAATGAAGCCCGATTTTTTTTGGCTACCATCCAGCAACGTGGCTTCTCTCCTAAAAAGAACCTTACATTTCCCATCTGCGTTTACACTGAGCAGATTAAAAACAGCTAAATCGCGGCTACCCAAGACACAATATGGATAGAGATGTCATTAGCAAAAAGGCCATGAATCCCGATTCAGCTACAACAGGTGTGTGACAACACAGTGGGCAATAAAAATAGCCACACAGCAGGTGCCCAGGGAGAGAGGGTGTTACAATTATGAAAGAAAATAGAACAGGGTTTAATCCTAATGGATTCTTCAGCCCTTAAGCAAGCAGAAAACATGTGTTGATAGTTCCGTGCATAACCAGGATCTCTACTATATCGGTCATAACCTAGCAAATGTATAGAATTGGATAATCCTCACTTCCTTGCTCCATCTGAAGTGGTTTGTGGAATTGGCATTGAGAGATTTCCCCGTCACAACAGTCCTTCGCTCAGAATGGTCATCTTTGTCATGCTTTGGGGGCGTCATTCCATCCGCTGTTGATGAGAGACCCAGCCAGCAGCTCTCACAGATGGCATTTCAGCTCAATTTCCTCCCTAATGGGCTCCAGCATATTTGCTAATAGTCCTCCTTTCCGGGTTTTCTTCAGCCATTGTTTACTCCTCTATATGTTTGTTTTTGTAGGGGCAAACATAATCAAGGGACAATAAAAACTGACTCTATGAGTAATCGCTTGGAGCTGATGTTTGCATGCTCCAGGTTTTCTTGACATCATTGGCGCAATTAAGCACCGAGAGTTATTAAAGTTTGGATAAAGGCTCTCCTTCCTTAGCAGTGATATCCCATAACGTTTTTCATTAGCCAATGGCTTGCTTACAGAGAACGATTGTTTATCACCTGGAAGGAATTGAAAAATATAAGCCATTAATTTCCTCCTCTGCTCTGTCTCCCCCAATGTTATGATCACCTAGAACTGAGAATTGTTTACAGGAATAACCAAATGATAATACTGCCAGAAATCCCTGTAAAGCAAAGGTCTCCAACTTTGGCAACTTTAAGACATGTGGACTTCAATTCCCAGAATTGAAATTGCCCGAGGCGTTCCAGAGTTACGCTGGAACATACACACAGCCATTGATAGATAGATAGATAGATAGATGATAGATAGATAGATAGATTAGATAGATAGATAGATAGATAGATAGATAGATAGATAGATAGATAGATAGATAGATAGATAGATAGATAGATAGATAGATAGATAGAATAGATATAGATATCAGTTTGAAAGACATGGACAACAATTGGATCCTGCCAGAGGGAAGGAAAAATAAATCTCTCGACATCCTTCCAATATTAAATGTGGCCATTAAACATCCCCATCTTAAACATTTCCCACTTTGGTCTTTGCTTGGTCCTGTTACATCATGTGGCCCATTTTGTCACTGGTAATGCACAAATGAGGCTTATTCAGTTTGTATTCAGCAAGGTGCGATTCCTGTCTTCTGTTTCCATAGAGAAGATACGCAAGCGTTATATTATTAGAAGCTTTTGAAACCTCCAGCTTCCACTCTTGCTTTTCCATGGCTCATTTATCAGGATCCAAGGCTATGAATGGGTCGGGGAGTAAACAAGGTCCATCTGCCAATCTAATCGAACAGGAAGTTCATCAGGATGCGAAGCTCTTTACGTGCGGCAGAAAAACTATTAATTAATTTTATAAACTTAATGGAATGGAACTCCATGTTGGTTTGGCTGCATTGTAAAAATAAAATGTGTTCCTTTTTTCGTCAAAGAAACAGAACTTCATAGTACTGTATTCCCCACCCCCCCCTTTTTCCTTATTGTTTATGTTTATGGGAGCCAAAGAGTAAAAACCTCAAGACTGCTGACCTCACCTGACCACATCTTTAGTTGACCTGTCCTTATAAAAAGCAGCAGTGAACCCTCTGTAGAAAATCAACTGTACATTATGACTCAGCTGCCGTTGCTCTTCTGTCAGAACCCATGAGCCAATAAATGCACAGATAACTTCAAAAACTATCCAAACACCTCTAGGTGATCCAGAATGGGTCCTTCTTTGGGATCAAGGTTCTTGATTCCTTTCCAGTGCTAGACTTTGAGGGTCTCTTGGCACTGCCAACATTGCCCTTTAGAGCTTAGTCACAATGTACAGCAGGGGTGTGAAACGCAAAGCCTGCGGGCCAGATCTGGCCCATGGGGTGCTTAGATCTGGCCTGCGGGGCCGACCTGGAAACAGCAAAGGACTGGACCGTGGTGCCTCTGCCAGGGAAAACGGAGCTAGAGAGGCCGCATGCAGCCCTCCTGAGCTCCGTTTGTGCTGGCAGAGGGCTGCAGGAGGATTCCCCCCACCACAGGTGCCCCCGGAGCAAGTGATGTTGAGCTGGCCACACACCCCTGCCCCCCCCAAGGTCAAGCACAGATCATTAGCATTTCTTATACAGTATTACATTAACATGCTCTGATGCTAAGGAGTTAGACATTCTACTCCCCCACCCCACCTGAAAGGAAATCTGCTCCAACTGCCAATTCCTTATATTAATGCGCTCTGATGCTGCCCATTTGATATACCTGGCATGGGCGTGACCAGCACGTGACTCATTTGGCCAGCGGGCTGGGAGTTTAGACATTCTACTCCCCCTTCCCACCTGAAAATAACTCTTTTCCAACTGCCAGTTGCCTTATATTAACATGCTCTGATGCTAAGGAGCTACATGTTCTACATTAAGTTTCAAGCTTTAAGTATCAAGCCCAATCATAAAGTTTTGTAGCAAAGCATGGGTATCCAGCTAATGAAGAAATAAATGGCTTTGTAAGTTGGAGATGCACACAGTGTTCAAAGGGGCCTTCTTACTGCAATGGGGGGGGGGGTCAGGAAACATATGGTAATTTCTGTACCCATTTGCCATGGAATAACATTGCCTTCTGGACAGAAGACTTGGTGAAGCATATAAGAGAAGAACCTTACCAGGAGATGTGCCCAGAATAGTAGGTTTTTTTTCTCCAAACTTTACATCAGTCCTTCAGCTGGGCTAGTGAGATGATATAGAGTGGTCCCTCAGGCTGGGTGGGAGCAGCATCAGGTTGGCTGTCCGAGTGAAAAAGAGGGAAGATTTTGTTCTTCAGGCACAGACACATCTGATAGATCTCCAGGCGAACCTCCTTCTGCCAATAGCCATAGACGAGGGGATTCGCTAGAGAGTTGCACACGCCCAACACCCAGAGGTAGTGTTCCAGCAGGCCATGGAGGTAACAGCGCTGGCAGGCAATCTGGGCAATGCTCACCACAAAGAAGGGGGTCCAGGAGAAGGCAAAACAACCCACCAAGATGGCCACAGTACGCAAGGCTTTGGTATCGTTGGGAGGCTGGGAGGTTGGGCAGGTGGCCGGCAGGCCCGCGGGTTCCAGTTCTCGGATGTGCTGGATGTGCAGAGAAGCGATCTTGAGCAAGCGGCAGTGGAAATAGAGAAAGACGAAGAAAACCGGGAAGAAGCTGACACACAAGACCACCAGGGTGTATGTGGGCTGAAACACGGCGAAGAAGGTGCAGAGGCCTTGGTAGTTCTCCACCCGGAAGCTGTGCACCATCACCGGGAGGAAACCGATCAAACAAGCCAGCAGCCAAGGACCTCCAATGCAAATCCCGACCACTGAGCCGCACATGATGTTGAAGTAGCGGAAAGGATGCGTAATAGCCAGGTACCGGTCAAAGGTGACCAAAATCACCGTGAAGATGGAGGCAGCAGAGGGGCAGGTGATGGAAGCCATCTGCAAGACACAGGTCCAGTGAGGGGTCTGGTACTCGGGACCAGACAGCTCTTGGTTAACCAGCCCCGTGATGGTGAAGCCCACCAAGTAGTCGGAGATGGCGAGGTTTAAAACAAAGCACAGGCCAGGGTAGTGGTTCTTCCAGACCAGCCGCCCCAGCGCAACCACCACAACACAATTGACCAACATAATCAGCGAAGCCAGCAAAGCAAGGGTGACGCCAAAGGCAACGCTTCCCATACTGACGGTTCCTTTTCTGGAACAAGGGGGGTGGGGGTGGCGTGGAGACCCTTAAAAATAAATCTAAACGCAGATCCTTCTCGAAGTGTCTTTCAAGGAGGTTCCCCAGGTTGAGTAGCCCACTGGCAAAAGCTCAGAACTCAGGAGGTGGAAGGCTGGATGCATCCTTAGGCAACCGAGCCTAGCCGGCTCACCACATACAAATATATTACTATTGCTCTGCCTTTGTAGTCCCACCCCTGGTTTCCAGACAACGTCAAAAGAAGCCACTTCCTGCATTTGGAATAGAATATTTGAATATTTGAAAAATGGTCTTTGGCCTCTACAGATGACCGCACAGTGTGTGTGTGTGTGTGTGTGTGTGTGTATCTCCAGTCATAAAATATTTCATTATGTTCCTAACCCA